GGTGATACGGCAAGCAGTAGTGGCGGGCGGAAAAGCAGGATGATGGGTAAGAGGAGAACAAGAGTGGTACGAGGAAGATGCTTGTATACGATACAGCACGGGTATGAAGAGGACGAATTGAAGGGAGTAACAAAAGGGCGCGGAATTGGGAAGGGGACTAACAACATGGGGGCTGTGATGGCGCAGATGGCGGAAGGAAAAGGAAGGAAGCGACGTAGGTACAGAAAGAACACGGAGAGGAACGGCGGAAGGACTGAGTGCAGCGTAACGAGTTTCGGGCCTGAGAGGGAGAGGTACAGAAGGCGTTTAGTATTAAATGGGCGGAATGTGTAAGTCCCTTCGTAATATTACACTACCGTTCTGTATGAAACTTAATATCGATGATAATACATGTAGATGGACTCAGGAAAGGCGAATACATTAGTGCGTCCGGCTAGGAATAAAGAGCCTGAGCAAAAGATCGAGATGGGGATGGAGGAGTGAACAGGCAGAGGCAGGAGCGGCAAAAGGAGGATTAAGTCGCCAAGGTAGAGGAGCTGAACAAGAACATACGTATGCGGAATGAGGGAGAGGAGAGGAGGAGGTGGAGGAAGAAGAGGAGGAGAAGGAGGAGGAAGAAAAAGAAATAAAGAAGAAGAAAGGTAGAATAAGAAAGAGGGGAGGAGGAGGCGGAGGGGAAGGAGCAGAAAGGAAGAAGAGAACAGAACGAGGGGGAGGAGGAGACGGAGGGGGAGGCGAGGAGGGGGTAGGAGGGAGCGGGGAAGGAGCGGGGAGGAGGGAGAGAGGGAGCAGGAGCAAGGAGCAGAGCAGGATATAGATTGAAAGGAAAAAGGAGGAGCGCGGGGGAGAAGATCAACGGTGAGGTGAGGAAGGAAGAAAAATTACGTGGAGGGTGGAAGAAAAACAAGATGGTGATGATGATGGTGATGAAGATGATGATGATGATGATCGATGATTAAAAAAGAAGAGGAGAAAAGGGAGATAGACGAGGTTTGAATAGGTGAGAGAAACTTGCTGACTAAGGAGAAGGTGTTTAGAGCGAATCATGGTTAGTAACATCAAAGTCAGCGGCAGAGCAGAGGCACCAGGGTCACTGTTTTTAGTACGTGCCTTTATTTGACTGGGACGAAAATAGAAAACCCGACCGCACAGCACATTGCTCCGCGCAAGTCCTACAGAGTGCGGAGAGTGAGTGATTAGATTTGAGAGTGAAGCACGGTCGGCATTCAGCGAAGCTAATATAGTAGCCTTTGAAAATCTGTCAAGAAGCATTCGACGCGTGACAGCTAAACGGACAGGACACAGCATTGATTCGCGATGCGGAGCTGTACTTAGGCCGTCCTAATTGTACGATTCACGGATCAAGAAGAGCGAGTTCATGGGACGGCCTATTATGTCGCGGAAATAGTAAAATTTGAGGTCGCCTGAATTAAACGGAGGTAGATGGCGATTCAAGAAAGATAAGCAATACGAATCGCAGAGAATGGAATGAGTCATCCAATAATGCGCTGTGGAACAACGAAGCGCCATTGAGGCATTTAACATAGTGTTCTTCTGCTAACATGGCACAGTCAAATTACTGTATCATATTGCCGGCTTCAAAATGAATTTTCGGGAGCATTTCTAGCCAAGCATGGACGCTAGCTCTAGAACTATAGCCGCTTCGCTCATGCCACAGTGAGTTCGTGTGGCCAGTGCAGCGCCCTGCAGTGGCATCGGCAGCTAAGCATGGCAGGTTAATAGTCAGGCGAGGTAGCAGTAGTAGTAGTAGTAGCAGAGGGCAGTAGTGTAGTAGTAGTAGATAAGTAGTAGTAGCAGTAGCAGAGAGTGTAGTAGCACGTTAGCAGTGTCAGGTCCTCCTGCGCCTGTGGCAGAGCGGAAGGAAATAATTCTAGAGCTAGCAATGATCGCTCGCTCATGTTGCCCCAACTTTTCAGCGGACAACTCTAGTTCATTGCTTTGCGAGTTTATTATGTTTAGCCAGATCAGAAATCCTGTGGAGTGCAACTTCGTTAAATGAAAATTGTGGCTGATACTACCCTTTATGCTAAACATTCATAATAAAAATTTTTTTTTAGAGGTTCCATAATACCTTAACCCATCCTCAACCGTCCAAGCCGTCATCCCGCCTTCCGTCTGTCGCGCCCGCCCTTCCATCATACCATTCCCTTCCCGTCCGTTCGCCTCATCCCAGCTCTCTATCCATCCATCCATGCCATACCATACATCCATTCTATACCATCCCTCCACCAAATTCCATCACTCCCCCATAGCCATACCATCCATCCATTCCACCCCACCCATCCCATCCCGTCCGTCCGTCCGTCCGTCCGTCCGTCCGTACCGTCCCGTTCGTCCGTACCCGTCCGTACCGTCGTCCGGTGCCGTACGTCCGTCCACTCCATGCCATCCAGCCAGCAATCTATCTATCCATCACAACACACACATTAAACGTAATTTCGCGCACGACTGTCACGCCTGCTTTACAATCGTTTTTGGATGTTTACGATAAAAATAATTTAGACCAATACGCGAAACTAATAGGTCTCTCGCTCTCGCACACACGCAAAACATGCAGTTTGATGCGAATCGCACGGCTCATTTCGCAGCGTAGGCATGTGGTCGGGTGCCACCACGCAGCGTCCAGGTTAGTGTCTCGCTTTACATGCGGCCTTAAACACACCTATAGCGCCGCAAATGCTCATGCCTGTGAGACTAGCCTGGCATCATTCCCTGCTATAATTCACACTAGACTCTCATCCTGAGACTTCGGCCCTGCGCCATCATTCCCTGGCTATCAGTTCACCCCTAGATGCTCATCCTGAGACTCCCCTGGCCATCATTGCCTGCTATATTCACACTAGATGCTCATCCTGAGCCCTAGCCCTGCCATCATTCCTGCTATAGTATTCACCTAGATGCTCCATCCTGAGACTAGCCCTGCGCATCAGTTTCATGCTATATTCACCTAGATGCTCATCCTGAGACTCGCGCCTGGCGCATCATTCTGCTAATATTCACCTAGATGCCATCCTGAGACTAAGCCCTGCCATCAATTCCTGCGTATACTTCACCTAGATTGCTCAATCCTGAGACTACCCTGCCATCCATTCCTGCTCATATTCACAACTAGATGCTCAATCCTGAGACTCGCCTGCACATCATTCCTGCTATATTGCAACGCTGGATGCGCCCGACGAGATATTCACGGCATCATAGCCCAGCAGACACTTGGAGGGCGTTTCAAATACAAATATATTGTTAAATAAGATCAACGAAATCTATTTACTAACCGCATAATTTATTTTCTACTCTCTTTCGCCTATTATTGCCAGGACAATAATTCGCTGTAAATACCTATGCTGCAGAATGCTCCATCTACAACACACACGATAGTAAGACCGGCACGCACGCCTGAGCCACGCACGCTGACCATTGGCGTACGCGACCATTCCGTCTCCTGTCGCATAAAATATTGATTTTTAATATATATATATATATACTAGTAATATATTATTAATAGTATTATATATATAGCGTGCGACAGTTAATTTCTCAACCGGCTATGTGTAGGGGCGTGCGTGCGTGCGTGCGTGTGGGTCGTTCGTGTCTGAGCGTGTGAGTGCGCGCGGGTTGCGTCTGCGTTATTAGGTATGATGGGATCTAGTAGGACCCTCATAAACAAGCCTGCGCCGCGTCAAGAGCTTATTATTTATTAATTGAAATATTCAATAGGCACTCGCTCGCCTGCGCCGTATCACGCTTTTTACTTCCCGTACTAATGAAGATGAAAGCAACAATCCCCGCTATAAACTCTCACGTTTATTTCACGTTATCTCGCAGTTGTCCTACATTTATCTAACAACTGACCCACAGTTATCTTACAGTTGTCCCACAGTTATCTCACAGTTGTCCCACAGTTATCTTACAGTTATTTCACACAGTTATCTTAGTTATTTCCCACAGTTATCTTACAGTTGTCCCACAGTTATCTCACAGTTATTTCACACAGTTATCTTACAGTTGTCTCACAATTATCTTACAGTTATTTCACACAGTTATCGTACAGTTATTTCCCACAGTTATCTTACAGTTGTCCCACAGTTATATCACAGTTATTTCACACAGTTATTTCTCATAACAATTCCGTTGCTTACGACGCAGTCATGCTAAGTACTATAATACCAGCCATACAGGTCATGCTAACGCAGGTCATGCTAATGCTAATGCATATACTAATACAGGTTATGCTTCCTCTGCACCACGTATGTTGCAATAGCCGGAGACATTTGGATTAACCAGTATTTCATCATGCCAGAACCAAATCATATTGTGAGAAATGACTACCCCAGGCAAAATACCAGTGAGATTGTGCGTAAGTACAGTGAGTAATCATAATGTTAAATATATATAGTCTGATATCCATGATTCTATCGAAAATTCTAATGGCAAAGGCCATGTTAGGAACTTACGGTTACCAATATACTTCCATTATGCGGTCAAATTACAGCGGATCACGAAAAGCAAGACGTAGATACACATCAACTTACGCGAGATGGCCGAGATCAGGCGTAGCTACAGACTAAGCTAGGCGTGGCTTGACGAGCGAGCGACCTACGTGATACACATGAGAATAGGTGCGGAATCGGTCGAGGTGTGTGGAGTGACTATAGGTACAGACACGGATCCCATAAATTTATAAGACAGACGCCATACTCCCATTTAACACAATTGCTCACGTCGGTTATATATTAATATTTTATGCGCGCGATCTAGAGCTCTTCGCGTATGAAACAGAGATGCACCGTATACGTGCATACCCGACGTAGATATATGATATTTGTAATTAGTATTAATCTGTGATTAATATATACGATATGTCAGTATTATAATTTCCCGCGCTACACATCATATTAAGATAAAATTGTTTCTCGTCAAATCAGCGACCTTATGGCAGTTCCTTTTCCCTTTAAGCAACAATTTGCGACAATGTGCTTGTCACAGCGCTAATCTCAAGTCGAAACGCTAATCGTGGTCCTAATTTTGCTCGTAGCTCTATACGATAGTTCTGACAACGGCCCCAGGGGGCGGGTACGGCGCGCGCTCGGCCAATCTCCGGTAATTACATCAGCAGCGGCTTCACACACTACCGGATGCGCGTTGTCGCATGCTCTGCTGCAAAATTCACACGTCACGACATGCCCTACAAGCCGTCGCGTGGCAGGCGTTTTCTATCACCCACTATATAGTCGATAGCTTAGCAAGCCGCCTGCGTGCGTGCTTCCATGCATGCATCCGTACGTGCGTGCGTGCGTGGCTACCTGTGTGCGTGCGTGAATGGATATACATACGTTCGAGCGTGTGTGCGTGCGTGATTGCGTACAAACATCCGTACGTTCCTGCGTGCGTGCGTGCGTGCGTGCGTGCGTGCGTGCCTGCGTGCATACGGACATGCATTCGCGCGTGCGTCCGTGCGTGCTTGCGTGCATGTATCCGCGCGTGCATGCGTGCGTGCGTGCGTGCCTCCGTGCACGCATCTGTGCGTGCTCGCCAGCGTGCATTCATTCGTGTGCGCTTGTCTGTGAGGCTGCGAATCGTGCGTGCGTGTGTGCTTGCGTGCATGTATCGGCGCGTGCATGCGTGCGTACCTCCGAGCACGCATCTGCGCGTGGAGATGGAGGGGGGGGGGGAGAACGACATCGAAGATGGAGAACGATGGGGTATGCCCGTGTGAAAAACGAGAGAGAGAGAGAGAGAGAGAGAGAGAGAGAGAGAGAAAAAGGAGAAAGAGGAGGCGGGGGGGGGGAAGATCACGGTGAAGGTGATGGAAGGAAGAAAATGATTACGTGGAGGTGGAAGAAAAACAAGATGGTGATGATGATGGTGATGATGATGATGATGATGATGATGATAAAAAAGAAGAGGAGGAAAAGGGAGAGATAGACGGAGGTTGAGATAGGTGGAGAGAAACTTTGCTTGACGTAAGGAGAGGTGTTTAGGCGAATCATGGTTAGTAATCACAGTCACGGTTTTTAAGTCGTGCTCTTTATTTGCTACGAAATATGAAAACCCGACCGCCAGCATTGCGTCCGAATGTCTACATCTAGAATATATTAGATTTAATAAACACGGTCGGCATTCACAACTAAATATATAGCCTTGAAAATCTGTCAAAGTAACATGACGCGTGACAGCTAACACAGCTTGATCGCATTCGACTGTATAGCCGTCCTAATTGGTACGTTCACATAAAAAAAATTCATGCCTATTATGTGCGGAATAAAAATTTGATCGCCTGAATTAAACTATCATTAGTGTTTCTGCTTATCATGCACAGTCAAATTACTGTATCATATTGCCGCTTCAAAATGATTTTCGGGAGATTTCTAGCAAGCATGACGCTAGCTCTAGAACTATAGCCCTTCGCTCTGCCACAGGTGAGCTTGTGTTGCAGTGGCAGCGCCTGCAGTGGCAGTGGCAGTAGCAGTGGCAGGTAATAGTAGCAGTAGCAGTAGTAGTAGTAGTAGCAGTAGCAGTAGTAGTAGTAGTAGTAGCAGTAGCAGTAGTAGTAGTAGTAGTAGTAGTAGTAGTAGTAGCAGTAGCAGTAGTAGTAGTAGTAGTAGCAGTAGCAGTAGTAGTAGTAGTAGTAGCAGTAGCAGTGGCAGGTCTCTGCGCCTGTGGCAGAGCGGAAGGAAATAATTCTAGAGCTAGCATGACGCTAGCTCATGTTGGCCCACTTTTCACGGACAACTATAGTTCATTGCTTCGAGTTTATATGTTTTAGCCAGTTCAGAAATCTGTGGAGTGCAACTTCGTTAAATGAAAATTGTGGGCTGATACTACCCTTTATGCTAAACATTCATAATAAAAATTTAGAGGTTCCCATATACCTAACCCATCTAGCCGTCCAACCGTCATCCGCCCTTCCGTCTGTCCGCCCGCCCTTCCATTCATCAATTCATTCCCTCGTTCCCTTCATCCAGCTCTCTATCCATCCATCCATCCATCCATACATCCATCCATCCATCCATCCATCCATCCAT